ATCAACATTTGATTCTGAACCAGCTATTAAACTGTGGTTCACAGACTCAAAATCTAAAAGTAAAAGGGTGGAAAAGCACATTATTAATATGATATGAATCTTTATAACCCAGATTTCAGTCATGTTCGTCGACATACGTTATTACAATCTGCATCGGTGGGTACCGTTTGATATGGAAGCCTATAACTACCATTCATAATTTCTACTTTTCGCCCCTTCAAAACACCAAAGTCTAAAGATAGGTTGCCAGGCAACAAAACATACGCCCACAGCAGCTAAATCGTCCGGGCAGTCAACAAGAGTTGTCGAATATTTTTACTTTTTTCGGTAATGAAAAATTTATAATACATTAAAATCTGATTAAGAGTAACAACTCATTAAGTAATTATCAGAAAACCATTAGAATTTGTTTGGTTTTTATAAAGTTCTGCCCCATGCTAACGTTTAGTATATGAAACTTTTAACATCATGGAATTAGCTGTTCAAGTTATAAAAATTCATTGAAAATCTCAAGACCTTAAACTCTGTGTATCAATCTGAAGTCAATTGGATAATAACTTTAGCCTCTAGAGCGTCACAAGATTTTTCAAAGTGATCAAGGGCCATAACTTTGGCAGAAATTATCAGAAATTGTTGAAAATCAATGATTCTTCGTCTCATGACCTCAAACACTGTGTATCAATTTAAAGTCAATCGGATCTTAACTTTAGCCTCTAGAGCATTTACAAGATTTTTTTAAGTGATCAAGGGCCATAACTCTGGCAGTAATTACCAAAAATCGCTGAAAATGAATAGACTTCTTCGTCTCATGACCTTAAACACTGTGTATATATTTAAACTCAATCGGATATTAACATTAGCCACAAGCTTTTTTAAAGTGATCAAGGGCCATAACTTTGGCAGTAATTATCGAAAATCGCTGAAAATCAATAGACTTCTTCGTCTCATGACCTTAAACACTGCGTATAAATTTAAAGTCAATCGGATATTAACTTTGGCCTCTTGAGTGTCGACAAGATTTTTTAAAGTGATCAAGGGCCATAACTCTGGCAGTAATTATCGGAAATCGCTGAAAATCAATTAAACACTGTGTATAAATGTAAAGTCAATTGGATATTAACTTTAGCCTCTAGAGCGTCCACAAGCAATTGTGTACGCCGGACCGACGGAAGGACGCGACGACAATATACGACCACATTTCAATTTTGGCTTGTGTCACCTCACATTTTGTCGTAACTTCTACTTTTCGACTTTCGTATTTTGAAGGGGCGAAAAGTAGAAACTACGAATGGTAGTTATACTTGCTTCTGCTGTAGTTGGAGCTTTTACTCACGCACTGACATTCTGTCTCGTTCACCAAGGCGCTCATTATAAATGGCGACCGAGGGCATGTCATGATGTCACCGACTGTTTTTGAATTTGTTCATTATGTCATAATTATCAGTAGTGCACATTTTCACAGTAAGATAAAACACCAATATTAATTGGAATGAGCCAATAATTTGTGTTTGAATGTCGAAGACCGTAGATAAGTCTCTGAACGTCAAAATGGTCCTGGATGTAGGGATAGAAACAGGGCTACATATGAGTTTCTATCTAGATGGTAATCTATCTACCGTTGTCGCATTGATATTTTGATTTTGTTTTTTGCAGTACATGTTAAAGATGGGTTCCCAGAAAAGTATTTATCGGGTGATTATTTCCAATAAAAGTATGGCAATTTTGGTATATATGGAAAGTAGAGATATCCAATCTTACTAGAAAAATACTGGATTCCCTGAAAAACACTCATGGAGCATATACAGGACAAAAATGTAAGGGTTCCCCTAATCAACAGCCCGACGATTAGGAACTTCTGCACGCATGATGTCAAAGGTCACAAGCGAACATTGAGCGCTTGATGTACAAGTTGATAAACTTTATGAAGAGTTAGACGTACAATACTTTCTGAGATAAAAATGACGGAAAAAGACGCGGGTAGTGGATAATCTGAGAATTTAATTAGGATTCGATATTTGTAATAAATAGTAAGCGATTAAAGACAACATCGTCTTATGTATGCAATGATTTCTCCTCTGACTCCCAAGACGTGACGTAAACATGACCTGGTTTGATCGAATTTTAATAGCAGGGCATTCCTTCGCAATTACAATGTTTAAGAAGGATTTGAAGCATAATTATGACAAATTATTTAGTTTGAATATGTTTTTGGTCCATATATACCATTAAATCACCCAGTTTGTACGCGGGAACCCATCTTTAAATAATCACTTTGAGTATATTTTAGTGTGCATCAATTGCCACGCAGAGACTGTCAATAATATTATTTTCCATGTTTTTGAGACGTAAAATGATTGAATTATAATAAAACCATACTTTACTTACTATTAAAATTGTTCCCAACTTTGTTCTTTCTTCCTTCCCATCAATATTGGTGCGAAGAATTGCTGTGGGTATTAATTAATGACGAAACCTGCATATTTCTTCAGCGAGAAGCCCTTCTTGACTTTGCTTCAACACATGTGTAATGACACACGCCAAGCAACTAATGGAAATACTCGACTTTCCCGCTTTTATACGTGCTTAGCCAATAAACTCGACCAGGAATTGAATTACTGAACCTGTAAAAGCTTAATCACGTGACTGGCCAGATACTCTTCTTTCATTGAATTCATATTGGATATTATTCTAGATTGATTCATAATGTTCTTCCCTAATATTTAAAAAGACGTACAAAGCCCGTATCCGTTTAAAATCTGTTAGTTATATTTTATATCCAATTCATACCTCTATTTAATAACGTTGTCTACTTGCATGCAGTTCAAGGTAGAAAATAAACCCTGTAAGCTACAAGTAATAAGTGAAACCGGACGTAAGCCCCTATGTTATCGACAATGTACTGGCTCAATACGGACTTATTAGTATATAATCGTAAATCCCGTAAAAATTCATAGCTAATTATGTATATAAGGAATGGTAAAAGTATCTGTACTCACAGATATTATATGGCCTGGAAGAGCGTGAATATTTCAGAGTGACAGGTTAGTTACCGAATCGACAGGTATGAAAAAAAAGTTACCTGTCACTTGCGACAGGTAACTTTTTTTGAACATTTCGAGGCCTGCAAGACCCATCCAGCGCGACATCTGATGGGTTCAGCTTTGCTGATGTTGTCTTAACAAAGATGACAGCCGCCTTTCGAGATTTCGTCAACAGACAGAAAATTATAAAGTTATCAGAAATAAAACTGTAATCAATTTTCAAAAAATTGTGTAGTTTTAGTAAACAAACCTCCCTTGTTTATATCATGGCGCTTTATTCGAAAGAGCAAACCATGGCGAAATGTATGAATGGTCTGATAGCTTTTAATTTGTCTGCATGGATTATTTTTGTGACAATGTTAAACAGGAACATTCCTGAAAGCATGAGTTTATTGTAATTTACGTATGTTGAAATCCGATGTTCTTGACAAATGTGTCAAGTTTAGTGGCAGTTTAGCATTTTTAACCATCTCGATGCTAAGGACTTTTGTCATGCATAGCAGAAACTTTGAACATAATCTTTAAACAAAGTTTTCTCGAAATAAGCGTTTCTGGACTCCTGGACTTTGAACTTGAATATCTTGATGATGGAGTAAGATAGAGCAATGATTTTGGTATCATTAGACAGCTTATGACATTCATTTTAAGATGACATATATAACTATTTTTGAATTTTGGGTCATTAAGACCCATTTTGCTGTCATCGGTAACATTATGTCCTCTGGGTTCTTTTACACATGAAACACGTATGCCAAGTCTTTATAAGATTGGTGTCAAAAGTTAGTGCTCATCTTAGCCTAATCAATGCCCTTAAGAATACAATCGACAAAGGATAATCAGTCATTGTTTTTTTGAGGCTGATAAGCGCCTGCCACAAACCAGAATGTCAACCGAGGGGACGTGTTTCTCCCCCACCTTAAAATTGAAAATCACTCTCCTTATTTGTAAATCATGGACATACGTATGTATTTTTTTTTTTTAAGAGTGTGAAAGACTCACATTCCAATTGCCGCCATGTTGTCAGTGTCATTGTGAACATTTTTTTGGTGTATTCGGTTAGTGTATAACGTGATCGCACATGATAAACATGACCAGTTGTAATGGGAGGTTGCATAAGGGGTCATACAATCGTCTTTTTACCCTATGGCATCAGACATTGATTAATTAATCAGCGCTGACGTTTACCCGCAGTTCTGTGCAAAGCATGCCAAGAACTCGACGTAACAGACCATTACATTGGCTAAGTCCTCACATCAACTAGAATGCCTGTTATATAACAACTCTTCCAGATCCTTGTGTTGTGAAATTTTAAACTATAAAAAACGAAACGAAATAGGATCTGTGTTTTAATCAGATTAATTTAGAAATGTCGACAAGTATTTCTATTGGAGTACTGTGTAAGTAGTTTTAGAAGATAGCAAAAGTTTGACATGACCGTACGAGAGCTATTATTTATCAGATGATGTTTATTATCATTTATGTAACCACGAAATAATGACCCCTTACATGCATTTATTGATCTTCAGAACCATTTCCCATACATAGGCCTACAACTAATCACTCTCCTTAATATCGGATCATTCTCCTTAATTTCTAAATCACTCTTCTTATCGAAACTGGGAGAGCTTTTTTAGGAGAGCACTTTTTTCAATTAGTTCATTAAGGGGAGCTTTTTTCGGTTCTAATCTAAAATACAAACAACAACGACTGATAATTTTGACAAGACAATGTGTTTGCTACAACTTCCATCGGGATTATCTGCATGATTAACCCAGATAATTATATAGTTTCCTTTTCAGTCCTACATGTACCGGTATTAATGTAGCTTGATATATCCCGAAAATATTCCTTCTTTGGCCCTTTTCCGATTTGCATTCTAGTCAAGACGTAAAAAAGTCCAGATCACCACCACCACCACCATTATAGGCTAAATCTTTTATATTTTTAAAAATACTATACCTCCAGTAAAAATTCAATAGTTTGATTAAGCAGTATATTATCTTCTCCTTCTTCATCTGTTACAGTGGTCTCTGTATCTGTTGACTGACTCACTGGTTTAGGTACATCAGGTGATGATATGAATTTACACACAAATTCTATTGTTCTTTCTACAGCTACTTCTCTCTTATATACAACCATAGAAAACTTTAATAGATGTAAAAATTCCTTCCAAAATACATCAAACTCCATCTACAATAGTTACAAAGTTACATAATGCTAATCATTTTATACAAACAGTCCCAGATTGTACTGTAAATAGAAAACTAGGGTTAACTATGCAAACTAAACACTAAAATGTGAAAATATGATCCATTGATTTCAAATCAAATTATTGTGCCATTAAGAAAAGGACTGCTAAATACATGTATGTCTAACAGGGTCAAAATTATAAAAGGCACCAAAAAATAATACTGGTGTTTATGGTGATTTGGTCTACAAATATAGGGTCGACTGGAATAACTGAGTCTTATATCACCCACAGATATATACAACTTAACATATATCTATATATTTAAATAGGTTGCCAGGCAACGAAACATACACCCACAGCAGCAATTGTGGAGGCCGGACAGACTGATGGACAGAGACGACAACAATATACGACCACATTTCAATGTGGGCGTATAAAAATTGATCAAAAACTTAAACAGGCATTATGAAAGAGCTAAATCTGCCTATTGCAGGTCTTTCTTTAGGCCTGAAATGTTAAATAAATTATTAATTAGACATTAATTAACTTACCAAGACCATAATCAACTCATCAGATGGCTGCCGTATAAGTAGATTTAAATCTGTTTTATGGTCGATGCGGTTACCGTAAAAATGGATAATCGTGACTTTGTTTATTATCGTAACAACGGTAGTAATAACAATCGAGGCTAAGCTATAATTGTATCGCCATTATCTACAAACGGTGGGACGATTTACCCAATACCACTCCAATATCACCACATACTACCCAATACTGCAACATAGTAATGCCAAATGAGCATATCACTTGATTTTTTTCAAAAATAGTGAGATATATCGTGGGAAATGTACTTCAAATGTGATTACCGATGTCTGCCTGTTCCATTTGCCTCCCTATATCACCCAAATCAAGCAAATAATAACCCAATACTACCAAATACTTATCAAATACTACCCAGTATTATAAAATACAAACCTAATATCGTTAATTAGCAGCACATCAGTATAATAATTGCAACGAATATTTGATAATTTACAGAGAATTGAAATGTTTATGCAGTTATCTCCCTTTACAACTGAGAAATAGATTTTATAGATTGCTACTCAAATTAATCATCTTGTTGGGCTTTGCAGTTTGTCCAAGACGACGAAGTTGAAATAAGGAAAACAGGTTATTATAGATGCCTCCGCTATAGTTTTATAAAATAAACAGCCAAACATCCAAATAAAACAGTTGATTTAAAAATGTTCATTAGACGGTCTCGTGATCTATTCAAAAATCTTCTTGTACTATAATTGTTTCTTCATCCTGGTGATTTTAGTATGATAACACAATGTCTACAAGTGCACTCAGTCCTTTAAAAAATCATTTGGGTATAATATTGTCAGGAAAGCACACAAATTTATCTTTATATCTGTCTTTTTTAATTTTTAATGACTTATTAACACATTTCCTTTGTCTTTTAAATGATTCCGGTTCCAAACTAGGCGCCTTTGAAAAATCTCCTCTTGTCAAAATTTCACCAATTCTTTGAATATTGTCACTATTGAACAAATTCTAATTATTCTATGGTATATATCCACAGGTATATTATTACCACCTAAATGAATAGACACGGTCTCCAGTTTCCTCCTACAATGTGTAATGTTCTACTTGTATATACATTCAACCTGACTTAACAATTAATCAACGGTGTTAAGATTGTTGATTGGGTAATCAAGTTCTGGTTTATTTATATTATCAAAGAAACGGACAGAGCTGTAACAGGTCGCAAATGATAGTTTTGATGAACGGAGATGTGTCGCGTCTAGAATTACACACAGGAAAGAAACATGTGCAATTTTGTTAATTCTAAAATAAAACATCATGCAGTCAGTAAATACGCAATAACTTAATAGTTGACATGAAAAAATGAATATTAACATTATGCAATTGTTTTGTTAAAGCATTAATTTTAAAATAAATACAAAAAATCAACACTATGTAATTTCGGGACTAACATATAGTTCAATATTATTTCATTAACTTGCTTGCGCGAAGTGAGATGAAACCGGGGGACCCGAGAAAACCCACCTTGTTTGACAGACGACCCTATCAAGTGGTAAGAGACAGATGGGTCATTTGGGGAATAAGATATGGTATATCGTCATACTTGTTTTTCTTATTTTAAGTTTGTCATCTTGGAAATCAATTGCAAAGGCAAAGAATGATTAATCAGAGTAGCAATCTAAAATCTATTTACTGGTTGTAAAGGAAGATATCTGTGTAAAAATTTCCATTTTCTGCAAAATATCGAATATTCGTTGCAGTAATTATACTAATGTGCTGTTATTTGACAATATTAGGTTGTTATTTGATCATTTGGTAGTATTTGGTAGTATTGGCTTTTTTGGGGTGGTAGAGGCAAATGGAACAGCCAGACATCGGTATCACATTTAAAGTACATTTCCCGCGATATAACTCTCTATTTTTGAAAAAAAATCAAATGATATGTCTATTTTGCATCATTATGTTGTAGTATTGAGTATTATGTGGTGATATTGAGGTGGTATTTGGGTGGTATTGGGTAGTATTAGGTAAATCGTCCCACCCCTACATGTAGGCTCAGAGTGAAGTAATTTGACTGAAATTTTCAGCATATTCTCTTTTCATTATCTATTCTTTAACTATTATAGTGAGAACTGTAAATTATTACTATTACTATTAGGTGTAGAATGTGAGAAAAGTCACAAAAACTTACTGAAGCATACATAGTTCTTATCAACTTCAGCATCTTGTTGTGGTGTTGTAGGCCTTTCTGGCATTGGTTGAATATGTCTTTCATTGATAATTCCGGCATCTGAAAAATCAAACAGGAATGACAACATTAAGATTAAGCATTTCATAGTTTTAGTGTAAAATTTGCTTCAGTCAATTCATTGTTTTCTATCGGTTTATTTGGTTGTTGATTTGACAATAGTTCTCTCCTTAATTTATAAAAGGTCAAAAATCGCTCTCGTAAAAGTAAGGGATTTGGTAAATTTGAAAGGTCTGTAGGGGTGATGATTTTCCGTGATCGCGGAAAAAAAGCGGAAATCGCGGAATTGTCCACTCAAAACGGAATTTGAAATCTCACACGGAAAAAGACGGAAAAGCCGATATTTGCTGATACTAAACACAAACTCAAAATAATTTTGCAGTTATCCAAGTATTTTATCTTTTTATTCATAAAAATCGGAAATATTGAATGATATCGCGTGGTTTTGTTACTGTCTATTTTAGTATTTCGCTACTTTCATTTCATCATTTAGGAATCATAATTTTAATCGAAACGAAAACCCGTCTTTCATGTATCCCATTATAAAATTACTCTGTAGTTTAACTTGAATTAAACATTGTAATGTATATATATGTCTTTAAAAAAACTTCTGTCACTTCATAAAAGTAAAAATCGTTTCATTTACTTCTTATTTTACTGCCGGGCTCGTGACTCGTGTTTATCCGCATTAACCACGTGACATCAGAAATATACCGTAGCCTTGTGAATCCAGCCCTTATTCTCGAAGAAACGGTAGTAACTACGAAGATGTCTGGATAAATCGCGACTACACCTAGCAGCTGAGAAACATGACTTCGTCTGCTAAAAAGATGAAACGAGCTCACAAGATGTAATTTTCTGTTATTTAATTCGGGAAACAGGTTTAAAGAATAACTAGTCATTGAACATTACAAGTCATTCACAATTCAACATTTGTTATCATTGGTTTAAAATGATCCGTTTTGTAATAAAAGGCATTTTAAGATGTTTTATTCATTTATTCATAAAATAACATTTTATCTCGAAAAAACGGAATATGGTCAGCTCTGAAACGGAAAATAACGGAATTAAAAATACTTAAAACGGAATTTGCTATTTTCTGAAACGGAAAATCATCACCCCTAGGTCTGTCTAAATCTAATATTTGTAATAAGGGTCCATAGATTTACCCAAAACAACTCTAATTACACAAAACAACACATTTTTATTGCTTTTTTTCTTTCTTTTTATACATGTATGTATAGATGATTAATGTTCCCTAAACTGTACTCTTTTTTTAATAGTTCTGAAACCAGCGGCTGCCAGGCAGGATACGCACAAATTTTCGAGAGATGGATAGGGAACAAGCTAAAAAGAAAGTGATTTTTCCTACAATCAAGGGCCATAATTCAGGAAATTACAATTCGATATGCGCAAACCGAGATCTTTGGGTTATAAACTTACATTTCAAGTTTCAACAAAATCGGATAAAAATTGTGACCTCTATAGGGTCCACAACCTTGATATACCATATTTTTACGCTATTTGAGAACGAACGGCGGCCATTTTGTCTGTCAATTTTGGGCCGAATTTCACGAAATTCAAACTCAGCCGTCCTTAGGGTGTAACGGTGATACAATAATACGTTTTTTTAAATCGGATAAAAATTATGACCTCTATAGGGTCCACAAGCTAAAAACATGATTTTTCGTACAATCAGGGGGCCATAATTCAGGAAGTTACGGTCCGATATGCGCAAATATCGAAAGGAACCGAGATCTTTGGGTTATAAACTTACATTTCAAGTTTCAACAAAATCAGATAAAAATTGTGACCTCTATAGGGTCCACAACCTTGATATACCATATTTTTACGCTATTTGAGACCGAGGGGCGGCCATTTTGTCTGTCAGTTTTGGGCCGATTTTAACGAAATTCGAACTCAGCCATCCTTAGGGTGTAACGGTGATATAATAATACTTTTTTTTTAATTCGGATAAAAATTATGACCTCTATAGGGTCCACAAGCTAAAAACACGATTTTTCTTACAATCAGGGGCCATAATTCAGGAAGTTTGCAAATATCGAAAGGAATCGAGATCTGTGGGTTACAAGCATACATTTCAAGTTTAAACCAAATCAGATAAAAATTGTGACCTCTACAGTGTTCACAAGCTAAACACGTGATTTTTCGTACAAATAACGGGCCATAATTCATGAAGTTACAGTCCGATACATGCCAATATGGAAAGAAACCAAGATCTTAGGGTGATAAACCTATATTTCAAGTTTCATTGAAATCAGATAAAAATTGTGACCTGTAGACTGTTCACAAACAATTGTGGACGGACGGACAGACAGGTGCGACGACAATATTCGTCCACATGAAAATGTGGGCGTATAAAAAATGGAAATAAATGGAAGGTCAAAGCAAGAAAAACAACTCTTATTGTCATCGTTGTGGATTCAGGTCGTTTCATCCCAAAACTGTTTCTCTTGTCGCAGCAAAAATGCAATATGAAAAATCAAATTCCAAGTACATGTATATTATCACATACCATTTAAAAGAACACTTTATTATCTTTCAGAAAATATAATCACTTTCCTGGCACATTAAGAATGAGTTCCCGAGAGAATCATGCAAAATTTTTAAAAAGCGCACAAGCGATGTCTGGCAATTTTGACCAAACTTTGCAGATTTGGTCATTGGGTACCCTGTATACCCCACATGAAATATGAGGGTCACCAACCTTGTAGTTAAGGAGAAACAGCTATGGCCATTTTAGGGTTAAAATAACGTCATTTTTTATAAAATAAAATTCTATAAATTCAAATATTTCCCATAAATTGCCTATTGATTATATTATTTATTTTTTTAAATTATTTTTTTTATGATTGATCTTGTCTACTACTTCAATATATATGACTATTAAATTTTTCCAAAACCATTTGAGGCTATGAGGAATTTATTTTGAAACATAGTTTTTGCTATAAGCTAAAACATATAAATTTCATAATGCTATATCTCACCCACTGCGGGGCTGAGGACAATTCTATTAATAAGGGAAGTTGAGGACTACTAATACTAATATTTGGTTTTGACAAAATGACTGGCACAGATTTCTTTCATATTAAATTTGATTGTCGAACTTGAAGAAAATGATTTCATTTTTGATATCATTTTTCCAATAAAAGCATTCATTGCCTGGATTATTAGGCCTGATAATGCCCCATGCAACCGCCTTTCAGCAACCCTATGTGAGAGAGAGAGAGAGAGAGAAATGTGATTTAACGTCCACTCGACACAAACTAGGTCATTTCGGGACTAACATATGGTTTAATTTTATTTCAATAATTCGCTTGCACGTAGGGGTCTTTAGCAGTGGGAGGAAACCGGAGGACCCGGAGAAAACCCACGAGGTTGGACAGGCTACCCTAAGCAACCCTATGTACTTGTAGGGCCGGTACAGATGATTCGGGAGTTCCACAAGGATCAGTCCTTGGACCTGTCCTTTCTGTAATGTATACTAAGAATTTAGGACAACTAATCGATAATCATGGTTTCTAGGACGACAATCTTATGCAGATGATGCACAGCGAATAGCAAATTACTCCCTTTCAAAAACTGTTCCATCCCCTAATTATTCTGACATCAAATTGTGTACACATGACATTAAAGATAGGATGACAAGAAACATGTTGAAATTAAATTTAATTATGTATTTTATTTGGTCCAAATACACATCTGAAAAACACAAGTTCAAATGATGTGGTTGTACGAGATGCAATATTTGTACCATGAGACACTGTGCAGAAGTTAGGTGTCCTCTTAGGATCCAAATTGAGCATGGACAGTCACATTAGTGAAATTAGTCGAAACTGTTATCTTTGGTCATAAGTTACATGGCTGAAACTTTGTAGGGACAATGGTATCCATAGTCGGAGTAAATATTTCACAAATCTAACCAATATTTCCGGAGCTTTCAGACCATGCCCAATATCGCCTCACGGGGCTAATAATATGGTCATCAGTTACATGGCTGAAACTTACCAGAAACGAAGATCCACACTTGGTAAATACAATTTTCAAAAATCTAACCAAAAATTTGGGGGCTTTCCCCAAGTCAGATCGCTCTAAAGTATGTCCGACTCCGACCACACCCTAAAAATCGGGCTTTTTATATGGTCATAAGTTACATGGCTGAAACTTACCAGAAACAAAGATCTACACTTGGTAAATACAATTTTCAAAAATCTAACCAAAACTTTGGGGGCTTTCACCAAGTCAGATCACTCTAAAGTATGTTCGACCACGTCCTAAAAATGGGGCTTTTTATATGGTCATAAGTTACATGGCTGAAACTTACCAGAAACAAAGATTCATACATGGAAAACATATTTTTCAAAAATCTAACCAAAAATGTTGGGGCTTTCCTCAAGTCAGATCGTCCTAAAGCCCACCTGGCCACACCCTAAAAGTGGGACTTTTTACATGGTCATCAGTTACATGGCTGAAACTTACCAGAAATATTATTCCATGCATGAAAAATGTACTTTTCGAAAATCTAACCATAAATGTGGGCTCTGTCCTCAAGTCAGATGGGTCTTAAAATCACAGCCCCACCCACCCCCTCTATATAAATCATCTATAAATTATAAACATTTTAAAAAGTTTGAAATTAAATAACAACAAAGTGAAACAAGGGCCATAACTCACGGCGTAATTAACGGAAATTGCTGAAATTCAATAGGCTTCTTCATTTCACTAATTTAAATGATGCATATCAATTTCAAACAGATCAGATGATAACTGTTGTCATTAGACTTAGAGCGTTCACAAGAATCAACAAAGTGAAACAAGGGCCATAACTCTAGATGTAATTAACTGAAATTGCTGAAATTCAATAGGCTTCTTTGTTTTACTAATTTAAATGATGCATATAAATTTCATACAGATCGGTTGATAACTTTTGTCATTAGAGCGTTCACAAGATTCAACAAAGTGAAACAATGGCCATAACTCAAGATGTAATTAACGGATATTGTTGAAATTCAATAGGCTTCTTCATCTCACCAAAGCAATCAACATATATCAATTTCAAAACAATCAGATGATAAGCTTTTGGTCTTCGAGGGAATTATTAGTGAGCAAAAATTTGCCCATGTATCTGTTATCACTTGTCACTTCAGTCAGTTATATAGAAGGATAACTTGTGTTTTCCTTTTGCGTTCGTCAATTCCGATCGTTGAAGCACTGATTACGCATCTATTGTAGCAATGATCTCTGTGATAAAATAATAATTGGAACGTGTTTAACTCAGTTCTATCACATATGTGATAAAAACTGGCACCAATATTGTGCTTGAATTACTGGTTGGGTATTTTGTTGTACAATAGATTTTATTTAACGGGAGAAAATTTCAAACACACAGGTAAGTTTAAAATAACCAAAGTCAAGTAGTTTGTTCATAATCGATATGAAATGAAATGGGGTTTAACGTCCTACTGTTCTGCTCCAAACTGGACTAATGAAGACGGGCATCCGCCATACAGCGTGCTATGAGGGAAATTTTGCCAGGACAGCGGCAATACGGCCTACTCTTATATCAAATTCCAACTGTCGAGGGATCTTTTACGTGCACACCAATGTGTACACAGGACCTTGGTTTTTCGTCCCATCAGAATGACTAGACAGCTATCCTTGTCATGCCCTCCGCCCTGCATCACTGACAAGGGGAACCACACCGGAAAATCTGGATGAACTTTCTAGGCCAATGCATGGACCGAACACCCGACCTCCGTTCATAATCGAAGAAATCCGTTTAAAATTTACGATGGTTCAGACAGTAGCTACTTAAAGTTTGAAAATTAGGTTTCAACAACAATTTCAATTGTGGTTATAAGCTATATTTACAAATATATTTTAGGTAAAGCTATATTTACAAATTTATTTTACAGGTAAATGAAGATGCAATACATGAATGATTTTTTAGGTGCCGAATAGTGCCGATATAAAAGTTAAAAGGAGAAAGACATTTGCTTGCTTAATCCGGGCAATGGTTTATCGATGGGACTTTTAAAATCGTGAAAAAGCCCTTAAAAAATTATCAACATTGTAAATTATGCATCTAGATGTATTACGTATGTGAAATATTATTGAAATTTTTTTTATAGTTTGTAGGTTTTATACAATGTATAATTATATATGTGAAATATTATAGTTTGTATTATGTTAAAGTAGCTTAGTCTCTAACTCAATATCATCCAAAATCTTCGACATTGAAAACACAAATTATTTGACAATTTAATTCAACATTGATGTTGTGATCTTACCAGGAAAAGATGGGCTTCTGATATCCAATATTTTTCTGTAAGATTCAGGCAAGGCCCTTAAGTGACCACCTTCAAATTCTCTAATTTTTCAACATAATGTACCATTTAGTACTACAATCACAATTCTAAAAAAAAAATCCTTAACTTTTTGTCGGTTGCCGAGATATGGGAGCTTGAAAATTGACCCAAATTTTCAAAAACAGCTTTTGGAGAACTTTAACTGAAAAATTACAACAAAGTACATGGTTACCCATAGGTTATTTGGGTGGTTCTTGTTAACTGCTATGAGTAGAGATGAAAAATAGTGAAAAACCTGTGGGATACCTTTGGCTTACCAAAGTGTCATGGCTCAAAAGTGCGCGAAAATGAATTTGAGCTTTTTTCAATGGTCATTTTTTCCAAAAGCCTTGGGTATCCCATAATTTTCTTTTGTGATATTGCAAGACTACCTACATAATGTCTCTAAAATGCAAAAACATTCATGGGACAGTAAAGGCTTTTGGATATATTTCAATTCAAAAATAATTTTTGTGTCCATTTTAACACTCTTTGTAGCCCCATAATGGCTGATGCCCCGCGTTTACAAAAACAACAAAACACTAAAATTAAACCTAAAACATAAAAATATTATTTTTTAAGGAGAAACCTATGGGATATTGACCTACTCCTTTAAAAAACTAATCTTTTGTAACATGTTTTTACAAAAAAAACCTTTACTTTAACCTTGAACTTGACCCATGTGACCTTGAGATGACCTTTTATTAAAAATTTAGCCCTACACAATATCAAAAATTGAAGGCAAAATTTTAATTATTTGTCTGTAAAATCAAGGACATTTCAATAGGAAATGAAATGAAGTGAATTGGGTTTAACGTCCTACTGTTTTGCTCCTAAACTGGGCTAGTGAAGATGAGCATACGCCATACAGTGTGCTATGAGGGACATTTTGCTCGGGCAGCGACGCTACGGCCTACTCTTAAATCAAACTCAAACTGCCAAGGGATCTTTTACGTTCACACCAATGTGTGCACAGGACCTCAGTTTTTTGTCCCATCCGAACGACTAGACAGCTGTCCTTATCGGGCCCTCCGTCCTGCATCACTGACAAGGGGAGACAACGCCGGAAAAATGTGGATGAACTTTGTCGGCCAATGCAGGGATCGAACACCCAACCTCCAGGCTAGCGAGCCAGCGCCTTACCCACCGTGATCCCCTCATTTCAATTGGAGAAACTTACTTGAATATTGTCAGTGATCCGGCCTGCATCACTGACAAGGGGAGACAACGCCGGAAAAATGTGGATGAACTTTGTCGGCCAATGCAGGGATCGAACACCCAACCTCCAGGCTAGCGAGCCAGCGCCTTACCCCCCGTGATCCCATCATTTCAATAGGAATAACTTACTTGAATATTGACCTACTTAGTTAATAATTAATATTTTATTATACCGTGTTTTTTTTAACTTTAAAAATAGCAGTGGACGCTTATAAGGCTAGTCTCCAGATCCACTCATATTTATACTTTTGCTATTTATTTCTTGCAATGTCTGTGGGTTTCTGTTTGTGTGGGGGGACTTTGACTTTGACATGCTTGTTATTTTGATGTCAATTTGGAAAATTGTCAGCGCCAAGTAGTCATATTATGTTTGTATGGCATAATGATACATTACCTATGGAAGAAGAATGTTGCCAATATTATTTCAATGTAACCGCTGCAAAATGCTTATTTTTGTTTTACAGATTGCAATGTCACAGTGTTAAAATTCAATAATACAAAATACGGTATAATAGTTATTTTGCACATTACACTTCTCCGTTCTGCATTTTGCATTACTGACAAATCTCATTTGAATACAGAAAAAAGTCTGGACTAAGACGGAAATTAATAATTTAAGGTCAAGGTCAGTAGATGGAGGCCAAGATCAGACTGGCATACAATAAGTCACCATACAATAAGCTGACTTGCCATGTAATAAGGGCAGCTGTCTAGTCATTCGGATGGGATAAAAAACGGAGGTCCTGTGTACACTTTGGTGTGCACATAAAAGTTCCGTTGGAATTCAATATAAGAGTAAGCTATAGCTCTGGTGCCCAGGCAAAATTTCTCTCATAACACACTGTATGCGTATGGCTGTCTTCATTAGCCCATTGGAGCAGAACATTAAGACTTGTCAGACCCTCCGTCCTACATCACTGACAAGGGGAAAAATAAATGCTCAAAGTCAAAGCCGGGTGGTACAAAACTCTTAAATAACGGGGTAAAATACCTGCCGGGTAAATATATTGTGTTCCTTTTCACTAAAAAGCATGTATGTAAATAATTTTCTCGCGCATTTATATTTACATACATGTACCCTGAAAAAAAGATTATTAAAGTTGAAGTGAAGGGGTTGGGTAGGTGGTATGAAGTAAAAATACAGGGCTTATAGAAGGGGCGGATTAGCTATACTGGGAGCATGATTTCATTGAAGTCATGGTTATTCAGCAAATGCTAGCTTGACTCGCCCTTATTGCTTGACAAGTCGACTTATATTGTACGGTGACTTACATATCCCTGAAGCAATGGCCCGAGAAATCCCTCTTTGCCCATTGCTGGATTGGCTTCTGATACTTGAGTGTGTCTGTTCTTCCTGTTCAATCAAATCTATCCCAAGTACAGCCCGTCGTTTAATCTTAAAACTTTGGACAGTGATTTAAGGTATTAAAAATGGTGAAAATATTGTTCGTCTCCAAACAGTATTGTTTACATTGTATCCATGGTTATAGCCTCGTTTGTCACACAATTAGTTTTTCTGCAGTATTCTGTGATTCACTGGTTAATTGAGCATAATAAAATCTTGAGTCATGTTGTAACGTTATGTAAACATATTTGGTCCAATTTGGAGCTCTGTTTATATATAATGATATTGTAACGCAGTAAGCTATTGGTTGTTAATCAAACAAAATACTGCGAGAAGTATGGGTGACTTATTGTATGCCTGCTTGATCTCGGCCCCCATTTATGTACCTTGACCTTGTAGATTGATCGCGTAAATTATTAATTTCCGTCCTAGTCCAGACTTTTTTCCGTGTGCGAATGAGATTCAGTAAAAAGGCATTTGTCTATAATGCAAAATGTAGAATCGAGAAGTGTAATGTGCAAAATAACTATTATAACGTATTTTGTATTATTGAAAAGTGTATTCTGAATTTCAACACTGTGACATTGGTATTGTGGAGCAATAGAAATTGCAAATTGTAAAACTAAAATAGGTATTTTTAACTGCTGACATTTGCATTTTGCACTGGTAACATTGAAATAATATTGGTAACATTGAAATAATATTGGCAACAATATTCTTCCATAGGTAATGGGTCATCATGCCATACAATCATAATATGACTACTAACTGGCGTGGACTAATTTTCCAAATTGACAAATATTACAACAAGCATGTCAAAGTCACGCCATTTTACCTTATAGTAAATGTAGGAGGACCATGCCACACACAAACAGAAATCAACTAGACAAACCCACAGACATTGCAAGAAATAAATAGCAAAAGTATAAATATGAAATCAACTACATGTAAGTGGATCCGGAGACTATCCTTATAAGCGTCCACTGCTATTTTTAAAGTTAAAAAACCCACGGTATAATAAAATATTAATTATTAACTAAGTAGGTCAATATTCAAGTAAGTTTCTCCTATTGAAATGTCCTTGATTTTACAGACAAATAATTAAAATTATACCTTCAATTTTTGATATTGTGTAGGGCTAAATTTTTAATAAAAGGTCATCTCCAAGGTCATGTGGGCCACAGGGTCAAGTTCAAGGTAAAGTTTTTTTGGTAAAAACATGTGACAAAAGATTAGTTTTTTAAAGGAGTAGGTCAATATCCCATAGGTTTCTCCTTAAAAAATAATATTTTTATGTTTTAGGTTTAATTTTAGTGTTTTGTTTTTTTTGTAAACGCGGGGCATCAGCCATTATGGGGCTACAAAGAGTGTTAAAATGGACACAAAAATTATTTTTGAATTGAAATATATCCAAAAGCCTTTACTGTCCCATGAAAGTTTTTGTATTTTATAGACAATATGTAGGTAGTCTTGCAATATCACAAAAGAAAATTATAGGATACCCAAGGCTTTTGGAGAAAATGACCATTGAAAAAAGTTTGAAAATTCATTTTCGCACACTTTTGAGCCACGACACTTTGGTAAGCCAAAGGTATCCCACAGGTTTTTCACTATTTTTCATCTCTACTCATAGCAGTTAACAAGAACCACCCAAATAACCTATGGGTAACCATGTACTTTGTTGTAATTTTTCAGTTAAAGTTCTCCAAAAGCTGTTTTTGAAAATTTGGGTCAATTTTCAAGCTCTCATATCTCGGCAACCGACAAAAATAATGATTTTTTTTTTAGAATTGTGATTGTAGTACTAAATGGTACAATATGTTGAAAAATTAGAGAAATTGAAGGTGGTCACTAAAGAAAGTCTTGATTTTTGCCTGAATCTTACAGAAAGTGGCTCAAAATAAACATTGTACCATAGGTACATGAATCGTGGGGAGCAGGTCGTTTCATCCCAAATTTACACGGGTCCTTTCATCCCACTTATATCGAGTCGTTTCATCCCACAAATTTAAAAACCGGTATTACATGAATTTTTAATATTTTATTTATACATTAATACCAATAACAATATGGCATGTCAATGCAATTCTATCATGAATAGTTAGTTTCACTATAACAGGATTGCCAGTGATAGAACAAATCAAAGAATAAAATTGCACGTAGCCACTATTTGTAGCCACTATTTCCACACGTGTTATCTTGTGATGTTCAGACTACCTGGCGCCTCAAATAACCCAACTTTAAAAGAAAGCATGCAATGTCCACCTTACAACAAGTTCCATTGATTTACGATTTATTTTATCATTTATCACACAGTTTAGACCACAATGTGTCACTATTCACATTTTGGTATTCTGAATGAATTCTTATATTTGGAATTGTTTAGTTTCATTTCGTGTACGGAAATTAAATCAACGAATAGTTTTAAAATTAATTATCAATCTAATTTGTCTTATTTAAAAGGGGCTCCTGTGCAATTTAGTTGATTATTTGATAATACGTATAGAGCCCATGATGTATTTTGGCGAGTGATTAAGCTGTCAATATGTAATTATAAAATACCTTTTTATAAAGAAGATAGATGATGTTAGACATCATAAACTAACAAACAATACATACGAGTATACTTTATTACAAAAACATCGATGAACTAATTAATCTAAAATCATAACGGCAATTAAAACAATACGAATATACAGCGGTGAACTAATCTTGGTCGTGATCGGTAATCAACAAAAATCGATGAGTAAAACTTATTCATTCCATACATTATTGTTTATTTAACAATAAGTAAGTGTTTAACTGTTTATTTAACGATAAGTACAACTAAGTTAATTGACTGCTATTATAATAACAAGGGGGATGAAACAGCCCGGGATGAAACAGTTCGATAAAAAATTAGGTTGGGATGAAACAGTTCGGGGTGAAACGGTTGTGGGATGAACTGACCCACATCCATGAATCGTGTACCATAATGCCTTTCAGCGCCATTTCTAACAAAGGACTCGAAGAACGAGGCTAGACATACTCCACAAGACATGTCAAATGGTGATGTCATATTCTTATCTGGAGAGCATACGCAATAAATACTATTGGTGTAGACTGGAGTATCCAGACGCCAGAGGTTGCCATTTGGTTGAGAATTCTGGCGTATTTTGCCGAACATAACTGATTTGAAATTAGAGTAAAAACGGAAACGATTGAATGTAAATCAGTTTATTTGCATTCATATTACATTATTATATGCGTTGCGACCCATTTTTATCAATTTCTACTAATTCTAGTTCCC